TTCAGGGCTCTCTGCCAGAAAGGTATTTCTTGTTAAGACTAGAAAAAAAATCACATTTTGGGTTAAAATAAATGGATTTTTGACAGAAGATAAACTTCTCTGATGTGCATGTCAATTTCAACTTTGGTGAATTTTGACCAGCAAGTTGGACCCTCAACCAGTTGACCGTGCATGACTTTAACTGGCTGTAGTTTTCCTTCTGAGCCAAGATGGAGGAGGCATTGGTTGTTGCTGTGTCTAAACAGTCGATATTGTCTGATATTGGCTATGAAAAATACAAACTTCCCCTCTTTAGAGATGCTGCCTGGCTGGATAAGATTTAGGAGACAGGAATGGAATGGAAGAAAATGGAAAATGTACCAATAACTCTGTCATAAGGCCTAAAAAGACTTCCTCCCGATAGACAGGAGCAGCAGTTTGTTGAGTTTGAGTATGGGATGGAGAATTTAGGAATAAACTGTTTGATCATCACACTCAAGGCTGTCCTTCAATCAGTTTGTGGTAGGATCAGTCAGAGCTGATCAGATTAGTCCTATGGATTAGAGGAGCAGCTGCTGCAGAGGCAAGTGAAAGCAAACCTTCCTTAGCTAGTTAGACCCAGCACTCAACTGCAGGATGCGCGGTTTCAATGGAAATGCAGCAGGTTTCATCTATAATAAGCTGGAAAACAATAGACAGCACTAAAACGCAGTGTGCGAGAGAAGGAGAGAAATGCCGCTCCAAAAAAGGAAACATGCACCACAAACAAATTGAATGTGTGGGAAACCCTGGACTTATATTGGGAAAAAAAACGTCTGTAAATCAGTGGATACATGTTTTTGAGCATCAAAATGACTCGTTTCACTGTCAGGATTTGAGCCACTAGGTCCGATAGCATTTCGAAAGTCTAGAAGAACCCCAAGATTAAATCATTTTATCCCCATTCAAGTTAGTCGAGGGCTTAACCGGAAGCTAGCCACTTGGCTGGCAAAGTCTCTAATGTGTTTACTCTATGAGCCTAATAATGATGCAGGTAATTTTATACCTGGAAGTTAAACTTGTTTTGGTTTCATGTGCCACTGAGCAACTTTTATAGGAATGAACCAAGCCCCACCTCCAACACTGTGTTCAGTTCTTTTTATAAATCCATGGCTAACGTTCATTTCAGCTAGCTGTCAGCTAGCAGATTAACTAACCATGTGTGCCACATTCGGCACTGCCCACATTCAGAGTTAGCCTGTGGCTATCTTGCCATAGGGTTTTGATGAACAGAGGGACAAAGGAGTTCTTAAAACAGTTGAGCCTGCAATGTGGGACTGTGATGCATCTTCTTGCTTCAGGGTAAAAGTATACAGAATGAAATACATAACATTTAGCGAACAGTCTGCAACAGTTACTTACAATGTTGTGTTAGCAACATGTTAGCCTCAGAGAGCTAGCTTGGTTAGCATTGTCTTATGATGTAGTAGATTTTCTGAAAGATCAATTAGGAGACTGTAAATGGTGTCAAATTTAGGCACCTGACAAATCCAGGTATTTCAACACATTGATGCAAAACAGTTTATGAAAAGCCAACATTGTGATAAAGCAGTTCTGCTGATTGATTTGCAACAAAAGCTCAACACACACACAGTTATGAAAGACATAGCTGTCACAGTATAAACACAGCATGGCAAAATCTACTACAGCCGACACATTTTGTTTTCTCATGGTTTATATCGCAGTATTGCTCAACTCCCACATTCAAAGTGACTTGCGTTTTGTTAGTTACAATGGATAGCATTGTCTGTTGAGAGGAAGGAGCGGTGACTGACAAGGTGATTTGTACTGACATGCATGAACATAGCATACCTAAATCAAGAGAACTCTGTTTGTGAACCATAACTGTCTTGGTAATGTCTGTGTCACACTCTTTAGCCCGCTCACCCAGCATGTTTCTGTGTTTTATGTGTGTGAAAAGGTTGAAATTAAGACTTGTTAGCAACATTTCCTGTTTTACTGCTGTTGGCTCTGACGGGGTGTAAAGTCAACGTGTCTGATCAGAAAAATGCAGCTTGATTTTGTCACACACAGACTCGGTATGCTAATCTGACATAAAGAAGCCAGTGTGCTCAGAGAGGGAAGTGCTCGCTGCACAGTAACAGCAGCCTGTGACATTAGTCAGGCAGTCAAATATGCTGCACTGCTTCACATCAACCTCATTTTAGATCTGTCAGTGCCGACTGAGGCTGCTGGTGTTTTTCTCCTTTACCTTTGACGAGCGTGCTCAGCTTAAAGGAACACACAGTGCTTAGTTAACCCACTTGTTTGCTGTCAGAAACCATAGAAGGGTGTTAAGGTTGCTTCATGTCTGCACGTCCAGTACACAGACAGGTGTGGGATGTGTTTAGAATAGCTTAGCTCTAATGCGAGATGTAAAGGGAAACATGTAGCTCCTGTCAGAAGTGAACATGGCCTTCAGCAGTGTTGTGATAGTGGATCAGCTCCTGTTTGTTTCTCACCACTCCCAATAGTGACACATGTTGACATACTGTGGGAAGTCACTGCATACTTCAGACAAACAAGTAATGTCTGTGGTTTAATGTTGAAACATTGCCCTTTCATTTGTTGAATTAAATCTATAGCTGTTTTCTGATGTACACTCCAGGCAGTGTCCGAGGAATCAGGTTGGGACATTATCAGGGATATTGCTTTCACATGTAGCGCACAACAAATCTGACCTAAAGGTGAAACACTGTTTGGTTTAGGTGAGGAGTGCTACCTGGGTAGAGCGTACAGGAGGCAGATCATGACGCTGATTACACTGTGCTACCGTAGCCGGTTCATATTTGGTCCTAAACAACAGTAGTCTCTCTCCGTTCCTTCAATTTGTCTGGTGATTTCAGCTTCAGTCTTCAGTCTTTACTGACATAAGTTCCCAAATCTCACCATCTCCAGACATTTTCGTTGCTGTCTTCGTATAGATGACCCCCCTCTTCACCCTCAGCTGTTTGTTGATTTCCAGTTTCATGCAAGCCTCATGTTAGAAACCTCATCAACACGCCCACTTGCTTGTGTGAATTCTCCAGAGCTCTATTCACACATGGGCTCCATCAGACATTACATGGACTTTGTACTGGGGAGCTGGCAGGATAAACTCTGTTTAATGTGTGATGCATCTTATTCAGACATTAAACATACAGCTGTTCCGAGTAATAGATAAATTCAGGTTTGCCGTGCGAGTGTAAAAGACGAGACCGAGACCTTCAAACAGTGGTCTTGAATTCAAGGCTGACTGCGAGTACTACAACACTGCTTTTGTAACTTTTGAAACCATTTAGCCTGATTTAACAGAGAGAAAAGGACATGGACTTTGATTTAAAAAAGATGCTCATTTTTGACACGTTTTGGCATATCAGCATCAGAAATCGGATTCAGAAATATCTTATTGATCTCCAAGGGGAAAATGAGATTTGTTACAGTCACTACGGTGTACAGAATAGAGAATTATAAGTAAGAGTATGAAATAGAATTATGTAAATATGAAATAATTAATACAGTAAAATAGAAAGAAAAATGTGCATTATATGACAATAGCCCTTTTAGATAGGAATTACGCAAATTTGCGGGAAAGCCCAATCAGTCTTTTTTCAGCATTGGCAGCATTAAAACAAAATCAGGGAGTGCAGCAAAATGCCGCCTACCTACTTTTGTTTAGTGCGTGAGCAAGTAACAAAACGTGTAGCTCAGCGTGTGACGTAAACAGTGACGTGGGATGGAAGCTGCGGCTAGTCAGTCCTTCGGCGATTCTCTTGTAAGTCGGCCCGTCCTTCACCGTCCCCGTGATCTGACGATTAATGGCCTCGTCGTTTGCGAGGGCAAGAGGACGTGCAATTCCTTGTCTACCCAGTTGCTCATCTTTACAGTGTCTGTCAGGTTTGCGTTTCCCTCTTGCTACTAGCTGCTCGCTAATTCCTGCTATCAGCTGTTTCCTGTTTATCTACCGCCAGTGGCTCGCACTTGCTGCGTCATCAACAGCCCCTCCTGTTGCTGAAGGCTGCCTCGGTCTACTTAAACTAAAAGGTTCTGCTAATATGACTACCCTACGAGGCGGAAAACTGGGAGCCTCGGATCAACTCGCCAATCCGGCTCTGTGTGTCTAAATGCTCGCAGCTTGCCGGCAAAACGGCCCAACGTTCGCGGAAAATCTGGCAGTGTAAAAGGGGCTATCGTTAACAGAAGTATATCACAACAGATTAAGATGGGAAAATGTATTCTTCATTTTATATGTGTCCAAGTAATATTGTTATCGTGATGTGCGGGCTAATTCCATATGGCATATTTTTCTCATACCGTGCAGCCTGACACACATGCACCCTCACAGCTGACAAATACTTATTTACATGTCTGGCATTCCCCCTCTCTTTTCTGTTATCCCTTCCTGTCTCTCTTCTGTCTTTACTTCCTCCCCACCTGCCGTCTTCCCTCTTAACCTGCCATATGCAGAGGCTCCGCCAGACTTTCAGTTTGTAGTTTTTATTTTTATTTTTTTTGTTTTTATCTGCACCTTTTGTGGTAATTTATTGGTAAAATAACACGATATGAAGGATTATCTTTGGAGGTAAAATGTTTCTTTTACTGTGAGTCATAATTGGAGCTGCCAGCCAAATTCTGTCAAGTTGGGACTCCAGCCGGTCAGACTGTGTTTTTCCACCAGTCACATTGGCAGGTAACCAGCCTGCATTTGGCTGCATCATATAAAAATCTCAGGGGACACCTGGTAGCTAGAGATGCTGTCCTTAATCTGAATGATGAGGGTTCATTGAAGTGTCACTGGATCTCTACCAGCTGTGGGGCCGCTGTGCTGTGTGTCCTTGACCTCAGAGATTTGTTGGTTGTGGGCAAAAAAGAAAGCTTTCGCAGTGATCATCACTTCAGTGTGTCAGAATGAAAATATTGGGTGATGCTGAGCATGTTTGAGCCTTGATCCCCGCCTCTCAAATGTGTCCTAACCTCCTGTGTTTGTGTTTCCTCCACGACAGGTAATAAACGTAAAGGCCTGCAGTGGGTAATAGATGTGACCATAGCTTACCCCAAAGCCAAACCCATGGACATCCAGACCTGGATCTTTGGCTACAGGCCTCCCACAGTCACACATGTTCACTACAGGTAAGAATAAATGTTGCTCTTGACATTCACCTGGTTTGATCTCACCTAGGTTTCACATGAGAGGGGAACACAGAGCCATTTTTACTATGCAAATACATTACGCAGCACACATGCAAAATAACTGCATCACATGAAACTGCACCACATTATACTATCAGATGATAGTAGTTGTGTATCGTTAATGCGTTTAAAATGATTTAGCTCAGTAGTGGTACTTCAGCTGGATGATATGGCAAGGAATATCACAATATTTTTTTTCATAATATATAATTTGATAACACTGTATGAAAGTAAATTCATCTGTTTGCTTATTTATGGATGATTACTATAACACTGGGTTTTAAAAGAGCAAGTAGTCACACTGAGAAAAAATAAAGCATTATATAGAATCAAAAAATTTGATGCATGAAGATGCATCGATAATTGTTTCATTATCGAATTTTAGTCCTCTGAATTATAATCGTGAGGTGCCTTTAGATTCCCACCCCAAATAATGTGAGCTTACTTTCAATACTTGAGCATAATGAGCTCTGTGGCTGCTGTGTCAAACAAACGGGGTGTGGATTAAGGGTATGCAGAAAGTTACTGCAGGCAGAGATTTCTGCAAGTTTGTGTTCTACTGGTGAAACATTTGATCATACTCTCTCCCTGTTTTTGCACTTAGGGATAATGAGTAGGGATGTCCTGATCTGGTCTCAGAGATCAGGATCAGGATCAAGGCATTTTTTTAGCTTATCATGATTGGCTAAATTGAGCTGTATAGAGGGTCGGATCCTTTGATTTAGTCCTCTTCACTCCGCTGAGCTGTGTAAGAACAGGGGGCTAAGACCCGCCTGCAGCAAAATGCCACACGCCATAAACGACAAAATGCAGTGGGAGACTGTTTATTCTTTTTTTTTTTTTTTTTTTTTTTATACTTTCCTTCTATTTTAGCTCAGTGTGAGAGTATCTTGCGTTTATTGCCAATGGTGTCACACCATGGGCGGAAAGGAGATAGACAGTGGCACAGAACCGACGACAACCACACCAGTGACGCCACTACAGGTGCGACAGATAAGCTCTAGGAGCAAAAAGCACAAAAAAGTCATATGAAAATGTAGCCAAAGATGTACAGACAGTGAAAAATAAACACTCAGGTAACTCTGCATGGCAACACACACTACAGAGTACTCTTTGAGAAAACAGAGAAATTAACTTGAGACAGCGACGAGGCTAAAAAGATTAAAGAGAGGGTTTGTTATATTATACCCATTTACTAATTTTATAAAAAAAAAAAACGAATAAAGAAATAAACAATGAGGAACAGCTTGGATGCAGGGATTTTTTTTTTCTTTTTTTTCTTAATGCTGCAATATTAAATGACACGGATCGGGATTGGGGGCAAAAAAATTGATCGCACAGTACATTTTTACTATAAAAAGACAGTGTAAAAACAGTATCTGTTTGCTCCTGTCCTCCTTCTCATAGCCCTCCCAGTATCTATGTCTTCAAAACAAACCAGAGGAAAATATTTCCTCCATAAGAGGAATCTATATTACCACAGAGTCGCATCACAGGTCTATATTAGAGCTTAAAGCCACTCAGGTTTGGTACACAGAAACTTTGGGACTTGGCACTGTTCATGTGACTCACTTTAGCAGCGTTCACTTTACATCGAGGGAGAACTTGGTGTTTATCCACCCACTGATAACACAGGTTCACTGCAGAAAAAACACACCTTGCATACCTGGTGAGTCAGCAGAGCACACCTGACATTAAAGGTTCCCCGTTGAGTTTCAGACCTCTAGTCCTCGTTTTGTTTATCTCGTGCACGCCTGTGACATTTCTAAGCATGTACAGAAACTCCTCTTCTGCTACAATATGTAAGATCAAGTAATTTAAAGTAGAAATTAAAGTTTCCTTGAATTGAGGGAATTATAATGACATTTTTCACATTTTACAGACATTTTATCAAGGAAATGATAGGCAGATTAATCAATGATGAAAATAGTTGTTAGTTTCAGCCTTATATTGTTTTATTTGTACAGTTTGTAACCAGTGTTTTTGCAGATATGATTGTTTTACCGCTGGTGTATAAGTGCTTGAAGGTGATATATATGCAAGTGTGCAAGAGGAAGCACACGTAGGTCTTTTAATTGGTGATCTTGCAGTTTGTCAAAGTAGATGCTTTTTGATTTTGATTACTATGCCTCCGCGCTGGCGCTAGCCATGGCCGGAGGCGTTATGTTTTCTGGTTGTCTGTCTGTCCCATTCTCGTGAATGGTAAATTTCAAGAAAGCCTTGAGGAGATGTATTCAAATTTGGCACACATCCACCTGGACTCAACAATGAACTGATAAGATTTTGGTAGTCATAAGTCAAAGATCACGGTCACTGTGACCTTGTTTATCTCATTCTTGTGAACGAGAGATCTCAAGAACACCTTGAGGTTTTTTTTGTTTTGTTTTTTTTTAAATTGGCACAATCGTCTACTAGCACTCAACAATGAACTGATAAAAATTTTGGTGGTCAAAGGTCAAGGTCACTGTGACCTTGTCTGTCTCATTCTTGTGAAGGCGTTATCTCAAGAACACCTTGACAGTTTTTAAAAATTTGGCACAAACATCCATTTAGATTTCTTACATATAGCTCCTTTAATGATCTGTTTAGAATTTGGTCAAAGGTCAAAGTTATTTTGACCTTGGGTCCAACTCATTCTTGTGAATGCAATATCTCAAGAAGTCCTTGAAGGAGATCCTAAACTTTGGCTCAAACATCCAGTTGGACTAAAGAGGGAACCCATTAGGTTTTGGTGCTTGAAGGTCAGAGGTCACCGTGACCTCACAAAACATGTTTTTGGCCATAACTCAAGAATTCTTACACTAATTATGATACAATTTCACACAAATGTCTAATCGGATAAATTGATGAAATGATGACATTTTCATCAACAAAAACTCAATTTCACTGTGACATCATAATGTTCTGCTAAAACAATTTTTTGGTCATTATTCACGGCCATATCTCAGGAACAGAAGTGAAGACATTTGTTCAGATACCGAATTGGTGACACTAATCTCGGGTGTCCACCTTGAAACTGTGCTGATTGTATAGATACTCTGTGCTGCCGGGGGCAGGGGAAGATGTGTGTGAAGCATCCAAGTTTTAAAAAGCCATAGATGTAAACTGTAAGTACAATTTGACTGGTGCGCAGAGGCATACAACAGCACGGTGGTAATTCTAGTTTTTATCATCATTATGTCATCATGCATAAATAATATGCCCAAATAGGCTGAAAAGACACTGTTATTTGGACAAAGAGAGCAGAAACTAGAGGAGGAACAAAAACTACAAATAAACCATCCCGATGTTTTCTCCAAGCTGTAGAAACAAAGGAAGCCAACTTATAACCATTAGAATTAAATATCCGTTCTATTCTGTCATCACCAGTGCACCAAAACATTTCTGGGTGTTGAACAGACATTTTATTTCAATAGATATTCTTAACTTAAGGATTCATTTTCAACCTCTCCTAAGTTGCATAATTCAAAAGAAACTTTGAAACTTTGCCAACTTGAAGGGCCAGTGGAAGGATTTCCATTCTCACCTGTGCGTCTTAAGACCTTTGACTCCTTGACAAGTTTGACGTAAGGTTCAGTGCCATATTTGTTCTTGGTTTGAGTATATATTTGTAATTATGGTTTTAACTGTGTATCTTTTAACCATTACAAAAAGAACATGGCTTGTAATGTTTCAACTTGAAAAAACAAAACATAAAGGTTGTTTTAAAAAGTAAGCACAGTCACCATCCTGTGTTCTATAGCTGAGATTATCACTGCTCCTATGCAAACACATTTGCCCCTCCAAATTGTCCTGCTGTTGGTGCCTTTCAGGTTCCCCTCTGTTGCTAATCCACCCACTCGGGGATGTGATGAAGGTGGGCCAGGATTAGATTTTCTATAGGCTCTGTTCAAGATAAATATGGCCCTCTGTGCATGGTCATGACAGGGATGTATCTAGACTCAAGCAGCAGCCACCGGGTAGAGGTCCTCTCGACCCCTAATGTTGTGATTCGCCCCTGAACTTCATCACGTGTGTGTGTGTGTGTGTGTGTGTGTGTGTGTGTGTGTTCACCTCTGTATGCAGGGTAAGATAGGGCAAAGTAAAAGATGATTTATGAATCCCGGCTTGGTGGCTCCTCTCTGGAGGCGTCTCCGCCCACTTGGGCCAAAGCTAAGGACTCATTAAGTCTGTAATTAGTCGAGCAGAGGATGCACTAGTCCCACCCCACCTCTGCGACTCTCTAATCAGCCATTGACACAATCAGCTTCCCTCGCTTGGTCAGCAGCTCTGCAGGCCTGGGACAGACATGGAGGCACCCAACCAAGCTAAAGACACAGCTGTTCCCGTTACAAGTGTGCACACTCAGTTCCAGCCGTGTAGCTGACGCTGATCAGACAGAAGTTAGTCCCATGCTGGTACAGGTGCAGAGTCAACAAGGGGATTAATCTGCCTGCCGATCAAGGGAACACTGTGGGGGAGTGAGCAGTATGATGCACTTTGGTTATGCAGATAGGAGAGGCGTCTAGACAAGTGTGTCACCCAACATAACTAGAATTACGTAAAACGAATCTGTTACTTAGGAGAAGTTCATGATTCTTGTCCAATAGTTGTTGTGTTTATAGAGTAAAAATCAGGATTTATGTTGCCTCAGCAGACCCTGTGTTACATTCATTGTTTACCTTTTATCCGTTCATCTGATAAGATTCTCTTCTTTAATGCCACGAGGGGACACAAATAGGGATTTACTTTAGACAGGGTAGGTTCAGGGATTTTGAGGGGAAGTCAGTGAATTTTACAAATTGGTTAAAAAAAAAAATCTGATGAAGCAACGGTTTGGGGTCAAATAGAAATTTAAAGGGAGCTTTTAACTGTGTTGCACTTTCTTGGGAGGCACGAATCAAACTGAATGAACCGATCGTGAACAATACTTCAACATATTTAATATAAAAGTGATAAAA